AGGGAAAAGCCAGGCTATACTTAAATAATGCATACTGTGCTAATGCTACTGCTTATAGATCATTTCTGACTGGTCTCCCTAGTCTAGCTCTTCTTTCGGTTTACAATGAAGAATTTTCCCCAAAGAGCAACTCCATTACAAAAGCACTTCAGAGTTCATTGTACCTAACTTGAAGCACTGCTGCAAAGCATACAGAAAACGTGTGTGCATAGCTCTGCTCTGATCTGAGCTTTCAGGTCCAATACTGTTAACGTTTGAACTGAACCCAGCAGAAACATTAAAAAGGGCCAGAAAGACAATCAATATGGCAGTAGGCTGCAAGAACTACAAAGAGTATTTGGTGCTACCTCTCAATTACAAGATATACAACCAGAAGGCAAATACAATTGCAAACATTTAGGCTGCCTATACGTGTGCTCAGGGTGGGGGTGGCTGTCTTAGAGAGGTTTCTGGACAGACACCAGACACTTTAAAACAGCTCACCGTCATATATATTAAGCCTCACAGCATTTCAAAGTGGCCATGGGACGCATTGTCTAAAGCTCATTCAATGAGGTTTAGATAGTGCCCCCCATGGCCAGTCTGAAACACATGGGGGTTTAATACACATGACAATGAGGAGATGCTGGAGCATTTTAGTTAAAACATGGAGCAGACTCAATTAATCAAGTCTGCTCCAAAGCATTCCAATTAGAATGTGAAAGATCATGTCTATAGGCATCCTTAAATTGTAAAACTTCCTATGATGTTAAGTTATTTCTCCCCTTCCCTTTGACCTTCTCCTGCCCCAACCAGAAAAAACCAATGCACCTTTCTTTGCTTCCAGAAAGCAACCATGACAACCCTTAACTGCACCTCTTCAGCATTACTAAACTGATTTGAAGGGGTACAGTTAAGGGTTCAAGAACTGGGAAAAGATTTACATTCAACTGCTGCCAACACCTGCTTTATATTTATTTACCAAGCAGCTCGCGTTATTCTAAGCTCCTTGAGAAAAAAAGTATCTTTTGTATGGACTCAAGTACACTGCTGGTGCCTTAATATCATGCCAAATACCAGCTTCCTACCCTCTGACAGCCACCCACTTATCTTTATTAAAAGGAGCATAAATTAATCCATCAATAACAATGTGGAAATTCCCTGACGCTAAAGACATGCCCTGAAATCACCTGTGCCAATAAGCGACAGGGGTCCACTCAGCTACACAAAAGCTGTTTGTTTGCAGAGGAGCCATATCAGCATACTACTGACTAAAAATTGGAGGAACATGCTTGTTTCAGTGGCCTGATGATTTTGGAAGTGTTATTTCTAGATCATCTAATCCAGGGCTGTCCAACTGGCAGCCACCAAGGGGTTAAGCTGCAACCTGGGTGCTGCTCTCCCCAGCACTCTAGCAGCTGCCAGTCTCCAGGCACCCCCTCCACTCTCTGCTTCCTGCCCCTGGAGTTGAGGGAGCGTGAAGCCATAGGACTTGCGGATTCTGCATGACATGGTGAAGGGGTGGGGGGTGAATGCCAACACAGCTCAAAGCAGGGGGAGGAGTGCCCTCCACACCAGTGTGCAGTGTAGCAAAGCATGAAGCACACATGGCATGCAATCAGGGCCAGGGAGGGGAGCTGCACCTGCAGCCCCCAACCACTCAGAAGTTGGGTACACCTGATCTAGTCTGGTCAGGGGAGTTCTCCAAGCAGCCTGCTTTCTCCCTTTCACACCACTGCACAGTTTACTACTTGCCAAGTAGCTACCTTCCAAGACAGGGGAGTCCACATTTTGATGGAGCCAGAGTAGCTTGTAATGTACTGTGGCTTCCTTTGAGGTAAGGAGTGACCATTATAAAGGGGGTTAGCCCTATTTTTCCCAAGGTTATTACACAAGCTCAAGTCCTGCCCTAGATCATCATCTGCTTATTATACCCATCCTCCTCATTTAAACAACTGCCGAACTGCAACATCTGCCTAAAAAAAAAAAGATATCTTGTTGCATTAACTTCTTATAGGTCCTTCATATCTGATCCGTTTTCTTCAAAGCATTAAACAGATAAGCCCTACACACAGCCTGTGACATTGCATGTGCATAGTGAATCTGGATTGAGCTCATGACAAAAGTTCCTTGGCCCCAATCAAGAAACAGGCACATTAGTAACCTGGGGTCAGAGACTGGTGGATGCATCATGCTCAGCCTGACAAGGTCAAGCCACTGGAATTCCCAGCTCTCAATTCCCATGCTCGTTAGGGGTTGGATGCTCCATTTGCTAACACACCACAGTGAGCACTACTTTATTTAGAGCTTGCAGGTTCCATTGCAGCATGTGAAAGTACTAGAAGTTTCAGGTTGATTCCTCACATGTACTAACTCTCTGCACTTGCCAACTACTGCACTGAGAAGCCAAGAATGCTGAGCTGATTTTTGCCAAGATAGCAGTGAACAGAAGCCATATCTAATGGCAAAGTTCACAAGTAGCTCAAGTTATTTACACAGTTGGAAGTCCACTGGTTAAACCCAGAATAGTCTCCACTGCTTACCAACAAGACAGATGGCCATGAGGCAAGTCACCCTCTTTTCCACCCGGGTAATAGCTTTACAGCATAAAGACAGTTTTGCTATGACACACAAGCAAACTCAGCTGGACAACTGCTGTTTGGTGTCTGTGGGTTTGTGATCTTTGGCAGGTTTCTCACTGGAAAACAAAACAGAACTCAAATGCAGTCTGATTTATTCCATGTTTAAAAAAGGATCTGAAGAAAAGCTGGGCTCCTTTTCAAGCTGTACAGCAATTGGGAAAGAAGAGAGATTCTTTGCATTAAAGAAACCTTTGAGGGAGAACAGATTAACAACATGGTTTACACACAGCTAAAAAACTTGAGAAAAGAGGAGAAAGGGAGGCATTCTGAGGGAGCCCCAGCTTAGAGTGCTCATTACCAAGCCTCTTGACAATACTTTGTGTTTGTATTTTTCACTTTAGATCCCTGTAACACATGGACAATACAGGGAGGCATCCAGTTTCCCAGTGAGGCTACAAAGATCTAAAACTAGGCAAATGTGACATGTGAACTCCATACACCAGAGCCTAGTGCGTGAACATGAGATGCAACCCCAACCCAGCCTGCTCCCGTTACTCAACAAGCATTTTATCTCTGTTTCCAGACTCTTCTGAAAACAACTGCATTCTATTCTTCCCCTACCCTGAAAAACAAAGCATGGGTATAGAAGCAGCTCTGTATGGTGGTTCTAAGGGATTGAAGAGGTAGCTGAAGTGGATGAAGTATAAATGCTGACAGAATGGAAAGCGACATTAGAAAGCTGGGAAAACAATAGTTGGAAAAGCTCCCCCAGGCTCCTTTGCAGACATATTGAACACGAGCCAAGATCATGCCCCAGCACAACTAGACACATTGGGATTGTGGAGGCCCAGCCCTTTAATCCATGTTGGTGAATGCCAGCTCTGAAATACTGCTGACCACCACAGCTGGCTCCAGCGTGAAGATTGTGTTACAACCACAACAAACTTGACTTGCATAATTTGTGGTCATCCACACGTCAGAGTTGTGTCCTCACAGGACCTCCAAAAAAGTTATTCTTAGAAAATAAGAATATAAGAGTAAGGCAAGATGTACTAAGCAACAAGCGAATGGAAAGAGGAAGGCAGAGGAAAGTCACAGCTTAGATGTCTCTTTGACGCTGGTCTGCATCTAACCCAAATCAATAGCAACTGAGTTACTCTTGTGAGTGAATGCAAGTTGAGATTTCAACCCAGTTTCTGCCACAGACCTGCAATTCACACATACAAGTTGAACACCCAAGCACAGGAGACTTAGCTGGTACTGACTTTGCTAGGGTACTGTGGTGGGAGGAGGGGAGTGTGTTAGAGAGCGAGCGAGCGAGCGAACTTCTTCATGGTAAGGGTGACCCAATTCTGGAATAGACCTCCCAAGGAGGTGGTGCAGTCCCCAACCTTGGAAGTCTTCATGAGGAGACTGGACAGACACCTTGCTGGGATAATCTGATCTCAGCAGTATTCCTGCCCAGGGCAGGGGGGTTGGACTCAATCTTTCTAGGCCCCTTCCAGCACTTAATTTCTATGACTTCCAGTTTGGTGAGAGGAACTGGGTTGAAATCTCTCAACTTGCATTGACTTGCAGAACAGGTACAGCAATACATGGTGTAGAACAGTAACTCAGTCATTATTGATTGGGGTTAGATGCAAACCAATGTCAAAGAGAGGCATAACTTCCCTCCTCCCACCGCAGTACACTAGGGAAGTCAGTACCAGCTAAGTATTCTGTGCCTGGGTGTTCAGCTTATTAAAAGAGAACAGCATAATGGCACGGTGTCAACTTGGCAGCTCGCCCCACACAGAACAACACAGAATAGCACCTCCCTTGGAAAAGATAAACAAAATTTCCCAGACTTTTACCTCTCATTTATAACAGCCAAGCAAGTGTAAAGTCTCTAGAGAGTTGGCTGCCTTCCTGCAAGTTTCCTCTGGGAGCTTCTACTGCCAGCCCTAGCATGAACGAGCACCGTGCCAGTTTCACACATAAGCCACTGTTGTGTAACCTACGGAGCTGTTTGGTGTTTATTGATTTCTGTCACACAAGCACCATCAAGGGGGAAACTCCTGGCCCTGACTTAGCACGCTAAAGGGCACTGAACGGGCAATGGCAGCTGCTTTAAGCCCAGCTGTTATGTAGCCTAAAGAAAGTTCTTGTTAATGTCTCAGCATATTCGTCTTCCAACTGTCTCCTGCAACCAGCATCATGAAGCATCTCAGCAGAGTGAGGCAAATGTTCTTTAACCTGGTCCCCAATTTCCACAGGAGGTTAACAGTTCACAGGGTTTTGACACATTCGCAAGAAAATACATCATACATATGGCATACATACACTGAATTCAATTAGTTAATAGAGAGGATCCAGGACTGTGTCCAGGGCAAATACAAAAACAAAAAGAAAGAAAGAAAACCAACATTTTTTTAAAGAACAAAAAAAATCTGATTTTTTTTTAAATTTAAAATCAGATTTTTTTGGTCTAATCATATTTTTTAGTTTAAGATGCTTTTTTTTTTTAAACAAGTAAACCTATATATAGTTTTAATTTAAGGTACGTTAAAGCTCAGATGTATCATCACAGAATAGGGATTATAACTTCTAAATATATACTATTTGGAGACAATATATTCAGGTAACTTTTTTAGAAAAGTTGTATAAATAGGTCACAACAGGCCATGGACTATACTAGGGGCCCAATCATGGGGTTCCCAAAGGCTACCCTATAGATTAGTAAAGATGAAAGAAAACCACTTTACCCAATGCACTCAGCACTTAGTCTAGATTCTAGAAGGTCCCATTAAACACTGCAGTAATGTTTAGTTTCAGTTCTCAAACTCTGGATTTGTCTCTCCAGAGACAACATCCTTGTTAACAGCAGTATATCGAGATGAGAGAGAACGGACCCGATTACCTACCCATCAGCCCTATTGTGTCTCTGCAAGGTTGTGTACACAGTCAAGCCTTTACCTCTCTAAAAGTGCAAAGTTTCAAGAAGTTAAATGAATAAAGGATATCAAACAAAAAGAATGCACTTTTTGTAGAAAACTATGATTAAGTTGAGGCTTCCTGACTAGTGATTTAAAAATCATGTTTTAAAATAGATTTGATTTAAATCAAATTCACCCTGACTGTGTCTAGGCAAAACTCTGGCAACTGAAAACAGATACAACTTTATTCTGTTGCATAACATCTGTCAATATTACACTCAAACATATCTTAGTGTTTCATTATTTTTCAGAGAGTTTTAGAAATAGAAAAAAAACCCAACAAAACACTCCCCCCCCCCCCCCCCCCCCCCCCACAACAGCCCTACACTCACCAGTATAAGATATGACACATTACTTTGCAGGCTTGTATTTACAAAAGGACATTGAAACCTTGCTTTGAATTGAAGAGATTCAGCACCCACCAATTCCAAATGGCAAACGGATGCAACTAGTACGTTACCTTCACCAAAGCAGCAGCAGATTTCAGCTACACTACACTAACTTATATTAAGCAAGCTTTAAGAGGAACTTTCAGAAAGATGTCTAGGGTTAACTTTGATTATGGACATGTAATTAAGGAAAATCCTGGAAACTTGCTAATAGTATGATCCAAGGCTATAGAAAGGAAATGGAGGAAGCACCAAACAAAGCATTTAGAGCCAGAGAGATTAACGTACAGGCAAATCTTCTGGCCAGGGGAGGATTAGGTGACCTAACAGGACTTATGCATCTTGGACTTTTGAGTGTTAAAGGAGGATAAAACCAGAGAGATGAAGTGTTAAAGAGTTCTGCTTGAAAGTGCGTTTCCATTAAAATTCAGTTACTGTAATAGAGAACTTGCAATTCCTTTAGAGTATTCCAGCTTTTGGAGACGACATCTCATATCCAGATATGATATTTCTGCAGGAAAGCTCTTTGATCTGTCAACTCAAGCTTAACTTAACTTTAGCCTTGTTTCGTTCTATAACGGAAACATTCTGGGTGCATATTGATGCTTTAAGGAACATATAAAAATGAGGGAAGATGCAGAACCTGGGGCACATCAAGTGATGAGAACATGCAGCACATTGGCACAGCATAAAGTGCTGGTAGAATATTTTTATAAACAGAAATAGAATAATGGGTGCTCGCTGTTATGAAATATGTTGATTACATACTTATGTAATCCTACATAGTGGAGTGGAAAGGAATAAAAGTAAATATGAAACCACAATTAATGTCTGGGGAAGAGGACAGTTTAGCTATAGTTGCATAAGGAAAATACAGTAGAAGAATTTCTAGACTCTCAGCATTTATTTTCGTAGACTTTTAGTAGGCCAAATTAAGGTTGGGTGAAAACTTTAAAACTCAAGTGAGGCGAGACAGAGACACACAGACAGATTATAGGCCATGACTGGAATAATTTGTTCCCATATTTTTCAAATATTTGATGTAATGAAGTTGTAGAGTATAAATTTTTAAGCCATTATTTTGACATGACTGTAGTCTACTTGGAACCTTAACTCCTCATTAAGGAAAGATGCTGTTTATGAATTTCCTGTCTGTTTCAAATCAGGATGGAACATAAAAGCTGTGGGACAAAGCCTGACTCCCTTAACTCTCACAAGGTCCAAATGGGGACTTCCCCTGCAAGCTGAAATGCAAGGATAGGGGATTTACACTTTGACAAGTTGAGAGGAAAAAGTAATGTTTTGAAAAAAAACAGACAATTACTGCCTTTCCCTCCGTTCTCCACCCCAGTCCCCCTGCACATTGGGTTTGCGACCATGCCTTCCATTATCTCTTTGCACTCCTGCCCATTCTGTACAACACTCCATCTTTCCTCGATCTCTCCATTCCATCTATATTCCTCTGCACAAGCCTAACCCATGCCTCTCCCAAATTCCTGAGCACCCAACAACCATCACATCTCTTCAGTAACCTCAAGACACCTTTTCCATGCCTTCCATTTGCCATTTTGCGTTCTTGCTGCTCCCACTCCATCAAGAATGGTCCTGTACTGAAGCATGCGACTCAAAGCTACACCTCCAGCCTCTTCTCACCCAGCCCACTATCAATTTTGAAGGCCACTCTGGACAGGTGCACTTTTAAAGCAGGTATCTGCCAACAAGCCACATGTCAATAAGCCTGTAGGTCACTCAATGACATCATAAAAGTTGGTTGAGCAACGGGATTTGAACTAACTAGTATGCCTGAAGAGTTATGTTCTGTTACTTGCCATATGTAAACATTAATAGCCACAGGTACCATTCATGCCCTTATTCAGCAAAACATGTAAGAATACATCTGGCTTTTGAGTAGACACAAGAATCAATAGTGTTAATGATCTCATCCATTGCTCCTCTTAGTACAGCTAAAAGCCAGCACTAAATCACATCAACATTTAAAGAAAAAGTAGCAGGCAGGTTTAAGATATACGCTTCCCACATATTAAAAAGACACCATATCTGATAGCTTGTATCACTTTCCCAAATGCTGGCGGGGGAAGAAGAAAATTATTTCCATCACCAGTTTAATTGACATGTTAGTTATCTGCTTAAAGGGGGGGGGAATTATGCAGCAGTAACTTGGAACCAGGCTGACAGCCCAGGCTAAGGAGCTGCGAAAGCTACAGGCTGGTCAATATACTCACAGGAGTTATGTCTCCGACGGAAGCCTTTGGACGCATTCAAGGATTCCACATGTCGGTCCATGTAGCTCTTGGAGCACTGCTGCTGTTGTGGGGAGATGACGACATCTTGATTCTTCATGTCTGTTCTCCTTGGGATGTTCTGTGGGGCACTGCTGGAAGCAGTGGGCTTCTTCAGCATTTTGCCGGTGCCATTCTGATTGGTACCCACTTGGCATCCAACTCCAGGGATACCCAGTTCAGTCTGCTGCAGATCCCCATACTGCCTGATCTCTCCAGGACCTGGAATCTCCAGAATTTTTAGCTCTGTAATATCACCTGCCCTGAACACAGGAAGAGAGAAAGACCAAAACAATACGTGATTTAGTACCGCCATCCAGTTCTGTAAAAATTAAGCTCTTCAAGGAAGAGTGTGTATGTATATATGTGCATGTTAATCTCTGCATTATCATCAGAAAAAGACAACACTAAAATCAACTTCCATACTCCAAAGAACACATACTTTGAGGTTACTTCAACAAAAACAATTCTGGTTCTTCAAAGAAGGGAAGCGGGTATTATCTTGCTGGTTCCATGCCTATTTACGAGCAAGGGAAAACAAAGTTAAGACAGAAAACTTCCAAAAGTTTACCTCAATGGTTCTGTTCCTAAATAGAATCAATCGGGCTGGAAGGGACCAGAAAGATCATCTAGTCCAAACCTCTGCACAAATTCAGGATGGTTATTCCAAAACAAGAAATCATGCTTTTGACTCACTGCAATAAGTAGCAGATGGCTTGGCAGAAATCAGCTCGATTTAAACAGATTGTGAAACGATAACCATGCTATATTTAATCTTGTTTCAAGTTACTACCTTATTTAATGTTTTTATTGAGGGCAAAACCCAAATATTTCAAACACATGCGAGAAGAATGGCACATGCAAGCTCTTTTAAAGGCCAGAACAGCAAAGCAGGATTGGAAATTCACCCCAGGTACATATAATCAAGGAGCAATATAAGTTGCTAACTAGCATGACTGGAAGGAGTTGCTATAAGATACCGTCTTTGACTGCAGGGTTGTGCAGAATAATAAGGATTCACAAATCAACTAACTAAGTCTACTGGGGAACAAAATTATCAGATGATTGTTTAATCCTGCAATATACAGAGATAACAGGTGGCGGGAAGTGGGAGCTAATTATTTTTATTCTCCTTCAGAAACAGAAGTATGATTTGGAGTGCAGAAGATACTGTTGTTCTTGTGCAGTTATTTCACAACAGCTTTTCACTTGTTCATTTGGGATGCTGTTGGCATACCTCCACAAGCTGTACTGATTGAATTCAGAACTAAAGAACAAGACTTCTGTGCTGAACAAAACAGATTCTGTAAGACATACCTCAAGAGCTACCTAGATGGAGGAAGGGAAGTGGCAGAAGATAAGAGACCTAAAAGATAAACGTGGAGTTGGAACCTTAAAATGGATTTATTTTTGAGTGAGTTTAAAGTAATCCAATGCTCCATTATCATAATTTTAAAAAGGAAAAACATTAAACTTGCTATTGACAAAAAAGCCTAAGTCTGATGTAACCACAAGCTGAATAATAGATAACGCACCCATTTTCGTGGCTCCTACAAGCCTGCTCCAACTGTGATCTGCACTTGCATTTACACTAGAACTCAGAAATAACAAAGTCAGAATTGGAGTTCTTTTGCATTCCATCTACAGGCTAGCAGAAACAGAAGAGGTACTCATTATCCATAGTAATTATCAATTATAACAAGGCTGGAAGCAAAAAAGCTCAACTCTGGCGAAATGGAAAGCCTACTTGAAAGCAGCAGAGGAGAAGGACACTAACCTGAAGGTGACCTCTGGCACAAGGCACTTGACCCCATTATGGAAAGGCCGAGTCAGGGAAATGGTCTGGCTGACCTGATCCACAGCTGACACTCGTCCTTGATAGACTCCCAGGCTTTCTCCACAGTTAATTGACACAATGCTTCCAAGCCAGTCTGTAGCCATGTTTCTGGCACGTGATCACTGTAAAAACAAAGACAAACAGCACTGGATGAAACAACAACAACAAAAATCAGGAGACTGACAAACTTAATTAGCTTCTGCTTTAATCCATTCCAGGATCCTGTTCATGACCTTGTCCATTATTTTCTTGGCTGTTCTCGCTTAGCAAGGTGGAAATAATACCTGTATAAATTGTAAGATCGAACTTAGAGAGCACAATACCCTTGCCCATATGTTTGTATGTGAAGCAGCTAGCACACTGTCGTTAAAATGTGGATGTTGGATAAATACCTAGTCTCACACAGCTACATCACACTGCAATCTAACGAGTAACTTTTGGTAACCTATTTTAAGACTCATAAATACTTCCAGTAGCAACACCTATGCTCAAGGGTGTTCTAGTTAAACTCTAGCTCCTGCCTACACATGTTCTCCCCAAAGCCTCAGTCAAGTTTGTATTTGCTTCCTATTCTAAAAGATCTATGTAGCAATGTTGGACAGAAAGGTCACCGGTTTTACAACAGATGAGTAGCTACTGATGGGTACATTAGTGCCTGTCAAAAGCCTTCAAGAAGGAAAGAGAAATAGGACAGTCTTTATCCTAATAAAGGGAATAGCACAATTCCCTGATTTTAGTGGGAGGGATCAAAATGTCAACAGTAAAGTATTACTATTAATGTTATGATCTTTTTGTTAAAATATCCCAACAACAGTATTTGTTTCAAAGGATGCACATTCGGGGGGGAAAAGCACATTATGTTTGATCCAACAGAATTCTCTCACCTCACAGTTCCAGTGTCTTGGATAAGTACAATTTTGAACTAATACTGTACACTACAAAGTGACTGTGCTTTGCTCTGAATGCATAATTACTACTTTCTCCAACAAAAGACTACCACGTGCACAGCTGTTTTAGCTGATACAAGATTATCAGAGAAGAGGGAAATGGAAGAGACTGTTACAAAAAGTAGCTCCTGTAAAGCAAGATAGAGAGCTTAGCGAGGATTTTATTAGCCAGTAAAGTGCCATCACACTGGACATTAGCCAAAAAGGCACATCTAATACGTGACAGACCGAGATCAGGTAGCAAACATGTTTAAATTACTTAAAAGCTATGATAAACAGAGCAACCAAACAAATAAACTTTGAATCTCCTGGCCTCTTTTTACTTGTCTTTACATTATTTAGATAATCAGTTTATGGGGGACAATGTTTGGGACTTATTTTTTTAAAAAAAAGGAATCCTGAGAAATATCAGAACAAAGAAGAGGAGAATGAGCAAAGTGGAAGGAGTAGAGTTATCTAGAAGCTGCACTTAAGAGCTTGCAACCGTCTTTAATGAGGAAGAATGACAGACCAGGCAGGAAACAACAAACCATATACATAAATAAAGGCGGAAGAAGAGACAAGAGAAAAGGCACTCATGAAATCCGAAGACAGAGGAGAGGGGGAACACCGTTTACCACATAACATGCACCTTTCCCTCACAAGTCAGCTACTCAACATTGAAGTGTGCATTTTAAGCAAGAAAGCTGGTTTCTTTGCTAGAAAAGGAGCACTTCTGGAGGCACAATGCATGTTGCGTAGGGCATTTGTGTCTGCTCAGCAAACCCAAGGGACAGAGTCCTGTGTTAACTCTCAGTCACAGCTTTTGGGTGAGCACTGTAGCTTGTGCCCAAAGCAGCCAGGGAGTTGCTGGTAATACCCTGATGAGGTTTGTGATGTGGAAACAACAGTTTACTGGAACTTTTATGAAAATGACTTACATAAAAGCAGTAACAGTCTTGTCACTGCCCTTCGCAAGAGAGTCTGGGGCCTAACCTTATGTGACAGAGTGAATCCTCCGAGAAACAGTGTCCAGGAAGTGTGGCATCACAAGAGACAGTGTGCCACACCAGAAAGGTCTGCTGGTCTTTTTTAAAATTGACTAGCACCTCTTTAAGCCCTAAACACTGTAGTACTGAGGACTCAGTAGTGAAAGTGACTACCCCAAAATTAAGCTGATTTGAGCAGGGAGGGTGCTGGCTGTCAAGCAGTACTAAAAAACAAAAATAAAATGATATTTGTCATTGTTTGCTTTTTATTTGTAAATGTTCCCTTATTAATTACCTAAGAAATTGAAAGTCATAAAGAAGTGCTTGTACTGTACAGTTTAGATAGAGAAATATTAGGGGTCCACCTATAGAGATTTTTTGGGCCGATACCAATGACCGATTTTTAAGGAGCCATATTGCCCGATACAGATCCAATTCCGATATGCAGCCAGGCAGCTTGGAGAGCAGCATCAGGCTGGTAAGTCTATTAGGGTGGACAGGGCCAGGGAAAGGAAGAAGGGGAGGGGGCAGGGGGGGGGGAGGGGGGGGAAATGGAGGCCCCCCTCCCCCACCCCGTGGTGAGGGAGGGAGTGGAGGAGGGACTGCTCAGTTGAGGTGGGGCAGGGTGTGGAACAGAGCCACGAGTAGCTCATCCAGGAGGGCACGTGGGGTGAATGCAGGGCAATGCTGGTCTCTTCCCGGGGGGGGGGGCGGCACTAAGCTGAGCTCTGCTATGCTGCATTTGGGGCAGGCGGCAGCAGTGCTGAGAGAAATGGGGGGGGCTCCAACCACTCCAAAATTCGCAGTCCCTGGCCCCATCCCACAGGAGCAACCTATCCCACCCTGTGTGCAGGTCTGGGGGTACACCCCCCCATGCCCTCGCAGGGTGCGCACAGCTGTGGGAGCCGCCACCTCACCCTGTCTCTACATCCCCTGGACAAGCTGTTTGTGGCTCTGTCCTTTACCCAACCCCAGCAGAGTAGTGCCTGCCCCAGCCCCACTCCCTCCCCCAACAAACTTACTAGTCCGACACTGGTCTCCAACCCTCTAGCTTGTGTTCCTGGCCACATGCATGCTGCTGCTGTGCACATGCAAGGGCCATTTATTAGCCAAATTTTGCCTGATGCAGCCAATAAAGAGCTGATTTCCAAAACTGTCAGTTTTCCCTATATCGGTGCCAATCTGATATGGAACTGATGCATCAGTGCACCTCTAATAAATATCCCATTTACACATCAGCAACAATTTATTCAGTCTATACAGAAGTTTTGTCCAATCCCATGATTTGACTTAGAAAAAAAGAGATTGGTGCTAGTGTCTCCACTGAACAACTGACTGTCTGTGCTTTTTAAAAGTACAATTCCTGTGTTAGAGATAAAGTTGTTCCTATTCATATAGGAATAATTCCATACTTTTTGTCTGAAAAAAAAAAGGTTTAGAAGAGACAGATCAATTACTGATCCATGAAGGGTGATAAAACTATTACTGTGTAATTTGCAATATAATTACCTATTTCCCCTGTGACTAAAAATAAGCCTAGCTTATTTCAACTGTAAAGTGGGAATAGTATTGGTCATACAGGCTTAGGGGCAAGATAGTCTGTGTTCATACAGTACTCTGGGTATGTAAAGAGCATCAAGATAAGTATGTCAGTAAAAGTTTTAAAAGCTAAGTTATCCCATGGAAAGTCAAACTCTGCTTTGCCATCTGGGCTGCAATTACTTAAGACCACCAAGAGCCAGCCGGGCTACCCGAAGTGCTAGCTGTGCTTTAAAGATAAATTGTTACCGAAAGCCATTTTAAATCAAGCCAACTTCACTGAAAAGGTACAGAAAATGATTTGGTGCTACAGCAGAATAACAAGCCTCAAGATGGATTTAGGCAGTGTTTACTAGTATTGAGAACTGCCAGTTCAGGAGAATCCACCACTGACAATTATGAGTAATGGCTCAGTACAGGTAGAGGTCAAGGGTCTACTCCCTTTCCTCTTATTTTAGCACATGAAGGCTCATAAAAATTGCTCTTCTAGACCAGACCCAAAGTCAGCTACTCTAGTAGTACTCTCCCTCCCAAAGCAGCAGACATCAGATGCTTCAGAGGAAGGCGCAAGAAGCAGAGGCAGGTGCAAGACAGTACGTCCCGTCCCGTCCCACCCCTGCCCCATCTACCTCTCCTCTCAGCGTGAAATACTGAGAAACTGGACAGCGCTGACTTAAGCTGTTTCTAAGCAGCTGGGGGCCGCATGCCAAGGGCAGCATTGGTAGGGGCTGTGGTGTGCACGCATGACCCCTGCTGCACCGCACGCCCCCGTGGGTGCCTCCCCCCACTGCTGCACCGCACACTGCAACCCCAACCCCACACGCCCCAACCACACACAGCTCCGTGCCCCACACCGCGCCCTGCCACAGTGGCAGGGCACAAGGTAGAAGCTGGAGGATGGAGGAAGCGCTCTGTGGCGGCCAGAAGGATGTTATGGCAACTGGTGCCAGGTGGGGGCCAGGGGCTGCCAGAGGCCACGAGTGGGACCGCCCCGGCCTCAGGCTCTGGATGCAACGCCCACGGCTCCTCCCCGCAGCGGCGGTGCCTCCAGACCTTCTGGCATCCAAGCGTCACTTCTTCCCCAAACCTCACGACGCTTCTTTTCCTCACACGTGCCAATGTGCTCGGCTTCCTCAGCGCCCTGCACGGCTCGCCCCAGCGCTCCCGCGATGCGGGGACAGACGCAGACAGATACTAACAGGGCCCAGCGACACCCAGCACAAGCGGCTCCCCTGGGGCTGGTCCCCGTGAACGCGAAGGAGGAGACGCCCCCCAGCCGGACCCGTCCGAGGTGAGGATTACGCAAACCCGGGGGGACAGGAAAGACCCTGGAGCCCGAGGAAGAAGCGAGGCTGCTGCAAGGCGTTGGCCAGGCTCCTTCACCCGGGCGGGGGGCTTACACAAGCCTGAGCCCCGACGGCCAGGGCCAGGGCCACCCCCCAGGAGCCCTCCGGCCCGGGAAAGGCCAAGGCCAAGGCCAAGGCCAAGGCCAAGAGGGGGGAGGGGCCGCGCCCGAGTCCCGCCACTCGCTCCCCGCCTCTCTCACCCGCTCCGTAGCAGCCCCGACGCACACCGAAAACGTCTCCTGTCCGCCGCGCTGCGTCGTGCCGTCACTTCCGCCTCCGCCGGAACTCCAATCCGAGAGCACCAACCCTAACCCCCACCCTATCAACCCGGGGTGGGGGGGATACTCTAGCCGCCAATCGGAGCTTAGAATAACGCCGCCACCACCTCATGGGCTCGAGAGGGTCGGTGTGCGCATGCGCAGAAGTCCAGCGGCTGCGGGCGGGCGGTGTCTCTACGCACCGCGCTCAGCTGCAAGACCCCTCACAGCCCCCACAGAGCCACGTGGCACAGGGAGTCTTAGTGTAGCGCAGACTCCGGTACTTGCCATCCTGTGGCCTGCCGGTCAGGTGCTGAGGGGGTCGCTCAGTGCAGTGGGGTCACCCCTCCCCGCTCAGCGGGCATCACTGAGTGCCCGTGGAGGGGAAGGCGCCAGCGCCGTGGGTGCGGAAAGGGCTGGCATCCACCAAGGGATGAGCGAGCCCGCCTGGCGCCTGCTGCTGGGCTCGGCACCCTGGGCGCGAGGAGGGCGCACCTGAGGGGCACGCGCTCCCCAAGCAGGGGCTCCCTGGCTTTCACGCGGGGCAAAGAAGCAGCCTCCTGGCGCCTACGCGCAGGGCTGGGACTCGACCAAGCCTCCCACCGAAACACCACGGGGCACCCGTGTCTCCGCAGGCAAGGCGCCTCTGATTTGGTAGCCTCGTTGCACAGCTACACACGCAACACGTTTCTCGTAGCCCCGCGCTTTAGCAAGGCTGAGCTCGGCCTAGTGACTAAAACGGTCAGCTGCCATCTGGTGCCCTAGAAAACCATCGCGTTCAGAGCAGAAGGCAGGGTGCTCACGTATTAGCCCATTACTCACTCCAAAAACAAGTCCACCCTACTTCCTTAAACTCAAACGCTCCTTAGGCCTCATAAATCGCGCCCCTTCCCTTCCCGTAAGGTTGGCTCACCACCCACTCTATTAAAGGAATTTGTTTTCTAGTCACGGCCGGGCCACGCAGGCTGCCTTGGAAGTGATTTAAATGAAGCAAGGCAACATTTTTATTTTCACGGACACATTGACCTGTTAACGAAGGGGATTTCATCCCCTGCTGCATGAGAAATAAAATGGGCTCATTCTGCTTTGAGCAGGGGGTTGGATTAGATGTGACCTCCTGACATCCCTCCCAGCCCTCCCGTTCTGTGACTTTATTACATCACCATTATTCTGGGAACTCTGGCTGGACTGGGTTGACCGTAAAACACGAGAAAGCGATATTCCTACTTTGGGGCCATGAGCTTCTGGGTCAAGAACACCAGTGTTTATTGATGTATTGTTTCATGAATTTATCATAATGTGTTTGTGCCCGAAAGCTTGCAACTAAAACATTTTTTTTTTTTGCAAAAATCTTGGTCTAATAAAATATATCATCTCTACTACAAGTCCTGATTGCCTTTTCAGTACACATTTGAGGTTGTGCCTGAACTGGCCCAAAGAATCGTCTTTCACAGCAGCTTTTATCACTGCCTGTAATGCAGGTTCTGAATTTCTAGCTTCATTTAATATTGGGAGTTCTGCCATCCCAAAGCCTGCCAATCTGGCCTAGATTTATAGTGTTGTTGATGTTAAGGTCAGCTACACATGGAATAAGCTTCTAAGACTTTTCTCATTCCATTGTTTCTGGAAGTTCTCCAAGTCTCACCCAATGTTTTATGAAATGCACTGGAATAAGAGGCTCTAGCTGCCACATCCTACCCTGTATAAGTAGGTGTAGCAAAATTCCATGTATGAGTGGGTACAGGGCACATCTACCAGCTGTTACACATAGGTTGGGTATAATTATTTCAAGCTTATTTGGCTGCTGTATCTGACTCCCAGATAGAAGTGCAAGATTAGAAAATGCATTACAATTCTCGCTCATGGACCAGCAAGAATCAGAAAATAGAGTTTTTCGGTTGCCAGACATGCCCAACAACCACAACTCAGGTGCAGGAATAGTCTGTCACATGAGAACACTGGGGAGCGGACCAGATTCAGAAACATTTTACCCCTCATTTTTCATCTCAATTTTGGAGAGGTATGGATTAAACAGAACCTAGGTTTTGTTTAGATTTTGTTTTGCAGTAACAAAATCCCACTGATGACCTTGCAAAATGAACCCCAGCTTTTGCATATTACTAGCCTCTCATCTTTCTATCAGATTTTTCTTTATAAAATCCCTGTCATCTCTCTGTTCCCCTTCATTTTTATTAAAATCAACCTTTTGATTGACGGAGTCAGGAAAATGACCATATCTTGTTTTGCTCTTAATTTTCTAAACAAAAAAAGCTGTGCACTTTAGTTGTGAACTTGCTGATCTTGCCAATTTAAAATTGAGCTTCTGACTGTATAAAGAACAAAATGATTACAGTAGCTGAATTAACCGTGGTAATAAAGGTCATTGTGGAATAGATTCTCTGACCTTCTAAGGGGACACGTTATTTCATCTAGCCATTTAAGAAAGTGATTGCAAAGACACCATCCTCCAGCTAATTTAATAAAATGCCCATATGCTACATATAGGTTAGTGATGTACTATACTCCAAATGAATCATTCTATATGCCCTAGTTCCTATTAAACTATCTTCTATTTTGGAATATTTTTTTCTGTTGAGTAATTAAAATCTTAATCTCTTTATATTTATTTTCTTTAGTTGACTTTCCATCACCCTCTCCTCAGTGCAAGGAACTAGGGCATGGTTTCTGTAACATTTTTGTTTAAGTTTAAGCAGCAAACACTTCAGGCAGTAATCAATATTTGCTGTGTATTCAGTACTTAATGAATTGTTTGACCAGCTGTAAGGAAAAAAAAATCCAAAATATTGTTTTTAAATTAGCAACTGTTTGGGTTAGTAAATCATTTGCTAATTCATCCCAATTTTTTGCAAATGAGCTTGTGAACTGTTAGGGTGGGTTGTCTGAAATCTGTTTTCTTCAATTTCTAATCCATTTATGGAGCTGTTAGTCCATAAACTGCAAAACTTTACTTTGATGTTAGCCAAATGCTTATGCACCATTTTACATTGTCAAAATAGGACTTCTGTGGTTGACTTCAACAGACATTCTTCCCAGAAGTACACTTCACTTTGAGAGGAATGTGCTTCCTGGCATGCATTTTCAGTTGAAAAACCAATCACACTAATCACGAAGCTAGGCTAGCTGAGAATTATTGGAGTATGTGATTAAAAGGCTTGCCTCTTCAGCAAGGGAGACATCACTGAAATATTCAAGCTTTGCTATTCAACTAGATGTAGAACCAGAAAAACTAAAAAGCCTAGAAGTTATGGACTTGTGATATCCAATAGTAATTTCCAAGCATCACTGCATGGATGCTACTTTAACTATACATAGGATCTTATTTCCTACAGCACAGTAGAAGAAGCATTTCCCATTCTTTACACTGAAAGGGAATGTTCACTGCCTGTTTGAGGCAACAGGTGCTTTCACTGAAGCAGCATCTGTTTTAACAAGTTTAGTAGCTTTGGCTTGTTAGAGAACCCATATGGGCTCTGAACAAGTCCATACTCAAATGCTAATTAATTTGTACTAATTACTTTCAAGTATGATAATTCTATCAACCGGTAGATTTAAGAAGTAGTGCATATATAATTATATCCACAAAATTATGTGCAAGGTGAACAGCAAGGTTGCTTATGCAAGATCCCTAGAACTGTATGCACAAAGTTAGGTATGTATTTAAGTGCATGGGAGAAATCAGATTCCCACTGGTTCTTCTCCTTGTAGCTTGGTGGTTGATGGCTTAAAAATGATATTTCACGGTTTGCTTTTTGGGAATTGGCCAACCATGGTCATGCAATCCATATTTATAGCCAAATTCCAGTCGCTAGTATGTTGTGACCATTTTGAAAAGGAAGTTATGAAAGGAGCTAAAGTAACAGTACCCAGAAATATAGAAATAGAGAAGTGAAGTTGCAGTCTAGAAACACATGCATAATTCGGGGGGGGAGGCTGTTTCAGTACTAGACAGGAAAGCTTGGACAAGTTTCTGAGAAGCTAACATACTCCAAGAAGGATCCTGTTAAAAAGAAATTGCCCCTCAACTATGGACAAGGCTGTTTTACACTAACAGAGTACTATTGATCTTAATAGTCTTACTCCCGATTTTCGTGCAAGCAGGAGCTGGATGGGGACATGGCTCTGATCCACAGAGGGTCAAAAATTCTCCACCGATGGCAGTAGGTACTGAATTAGGCTTGAATATAGTTAAAGTCTCTCTATGCATAGAGAGAGCCTGAGCCTGCCTTGTTGAGATCTATAAAAACCAGACAGTAGATTAATCTGGATAGAAAAAATGTTCATGCCAAAACCTTGAAAATGAAGGAAAGAGCAATAAATTGTCACTGACACTATTAACATTTTTCCTATGGCACATGGGTATAAAGACAAAAAATCAGAAGCATCTCTTATTTTTTATTAGGGTTTATTATCTCAGATTTTTCCACATGTAGTCCTTAGAGACTATATGAAAATGTTTCATACATATGGCATTGCACACAGTACAAAATAAGCAAGCAGTATATGTTCATTTATAGTTAAAACATAGCTACAACATTTGCATTCCTACAATCTTTACCTTTATTAGTCTGAATACATACATCTCTATTGCTAGGTCTCTTTAAAACCATTAAAAAAAAAAGGCAGCAATATGTAGATGGAAGGCAAGTAGTCCTTTATTTCCCCTCTTATTGCCATTTTCCCTTTATTGTCATCACTTTGGACTTGTGATTTTCATAAGGCTTATTGTTTAATGAATAGAGCTACCTGTAATTAGTAAAAATATCCCAAATTCATGAACAACAGCACCAAGATGTTTGCTGTGGACTAACAGCATTGTTGTTTACAAGTATCCAGATAACTCAGTTCTATTAATGACAACTGGCAATTCATTCACAAGTCAGTTCAATGAATGATCATGCTCAAGATAACTACTTCAGGAAGAAGCAGCACCATGCAACTTGGCTAACCGCACACCAGTGGATATTTACCTCTGCTTCACTGAGAAGTCCTCAAACATAGAATTTCACACGACAAGTTACGCTGACAGAGCACAAAAAGTGAATTTCCACATAGCATGTGGAGTTAAAAGCAAAATGAGTTTGCAAACTGCTCATCATTTCAGACTCATGCAACTATTTGTGAGAAAGTTGGTTAAAGTTTTGCCTCAAAAAACTTGAGGCAAAATGAGTTGATACATACTTGATAGCTGTTCTCATATGCCACATATCCAATTTGATCGTGAATAAAAGAACTTGCACAGCAGTAGCCAATTGGTTACATTTCAGAGACAATCCCTGGTACTTCAGTGTGACAGCTACTATTATTGCTTATTCCAGACTAAGGCACACATTAAGGCTACCAATCATGACACTGGTATTATCTGGGACGTTGAAACACTACCCACTATTAAGACCTCCCACAAGACCAGCAGTTATGATCAAAGGACCTTAGTATAATCTTTGTTGTGCGTTTATATGGGTAACAATAATGAAGTTACTTAATTGAGGTATGAGAAGTCAGTACAAGGCAAGCTCCTCAGGGCATACTAGGCAGGATTTGCCAGCCCTTGAGTCATCAACAATAGTCTTTATCTGCTGTTATGCATGAGCTCTCAGAAAAAACATTAGATATGAACAAGCCCCCAGTGAACGAGCACAGAAAGATAGCCCCCGTTTATTCCATATTGCTTTCCTGTAGAGAAGATGTCAGCCCTCAAATGGTCTTGGTGATTCCAGAAGGCAAACTCCATATTGTAAAATGGTATGTCCCCTTTCATGTCCCAGCAGTGAGGAAGTGCAGCTCACTCAAAGCTCTTATTTGGGAAACGCTGCTTAATCTGGAAGTACTCATACTTCTCGTTTTTCATGGTCAGTCCATATTGAGGTGTTATGTCTACCTTCTGTCCATCACATACGCTGAACTCCAGTTGCTGGAGCAGTGTGGCCAAGAAGAG